GCGCTTGGGCGCCTAAGCTTCTTTTAAATTCATTATTACCGTTATCTGTTATTTCATAATTCGGATTTTCCTTGTGTTTAAAATTGTAATTTATTGCTAAGGTTGTTCTATAGGGCTTTGTACCCATTAAATAAATAATAAATACTATATTATGTAATGTCCCTAATCTTGATCACTAGTACTTCAATGATGACATAATTTAAAATTTTAAACAATATTAAAAGTTCAATCAGTAGTGTCATTTGAACAGGCCGCTTAGCATATTTTTATTTTACATGCGTTATCTTGAGACACTTGCATTTATACTACATTGAATATTTCATCTTTTTGCTGTAGCCTGCACATCAAAAACTAATTTTTATTGATAAATAGAAGAAGTATTTTTTTTTACATTTGGTTTGATAAATCATGTGACATAATATATCGCGTAATATTTTCAAAAATTACTACCGATAGAAACAACGTAACACATGGTCGATGATCAACTCTATTCGTATCCACCCTAGTACTAAAAATACGATCTTAAGCATATTATAGTTTAATCCTGTCACAGACCTGTGAGTTTCCCCGTTCCATTTTCCTCTGTGCGCGCTATGCAACAACCCTACTGTATTGGCTTTTTATAAATGAGATTATTATTTTGTTTAAATAAAGGTGATAGGTGTTTTTTTATTACTATTTACAATATAATATAATAATAATTTTTATAATAAAATTATCTTCTAGATTTCGTGTCATAACGAAAATGGCGCTTCTAAACGTATATCCTAGTACATTATTTTTAAATTAGTTGGAGAATTGTATTGGCCACACTGGAATTTCAATGAGTGTGTCGGACATGCAGTACATTTCGATTCTGTTGTGTTGCGCTTTTGGTATGGAGAGTATAGGTAATGTCAATGAACGTAAACGTGGGTCACCTATCTATATATTTTATTTTTTAGCAATTGTTGGATATTTAATTTTTTTTTCAAAGAACAGTGGCCTAAGGATATGATGTGAATAAGATAATGTATGCCTGTTTATCAATGCAGGCTTACATTATTATCAAATAATATAAGCCATGTGTGTTTATTCAAGGTGTTTAAAGTAATAATAATTTTGTAAGACCTATAAAAAGATTTCTTTTACAATACGTGTAGTTTATATATTTTAAGAGTTCAAGTTATTATTGTGTCTTGTGTTAGGTGACTACGGTAGCATGTATCAAGGCGCACTGTGTAGGCAATTTTTCAATAAAAATGAATATTTAGCTAAAATTTACTTTAAGCTACTTACAGTACTTATCTTTTTTATCTTTAATTAATTTGTTTAACTTTTATAACAGATACAGGCTCTATTTTTGTAAAAATTCATAATATGTTCCATATTGTTACCATGATGTTCTACTTTTGTGAGGGCTTTCTGAGCGATATTTTTTAGTTAATTAATTACCTAATTGTTTATTTTAATGGGTTATATGTATGAATAAATAAATACTTCATTTAAATTGTTTAGCCCAATATAATTGAGTTAACAGAAAACTTTACCCAATGTTGTAGTTATTTACTTGACCAGGATATTTTTGTCCTAAAATGTTCAGTAGTTGTTTTAGTTACTAATGTGAATATTGTACATTGTTTAATTGCTGTCGCCATAACTACAATGTTGTGTGTTATTTCGTACCATCTCTTAGACGATACATGTAATTTAGTGTGGGATAATTAAATTCGAGATCATTCATAACTTTACACGATTTTCGTAGTATTACAAGCAAGCATAACAGTTTTTTTTTTAGTTTCATTGTCATAACTCTTTTATTTATAGTTGTATAATTTTTATATTCGGCAACATGAATAAAAGGTATTTATACTGATTATTTAATCAAGCAAATCTACATTATATATTATCAGTTCTTGACATTTTATTTTTAATACTATTCATTGCTTTTTTCAATATTAAATTTTATCTTCCAAAATCTCGACAATTTATTCCTTATTAGTTATAACATTTTAAATAATATTATTACTTCATCACATACATATTGTGTGTAGGATGGCGCTACTTTATTGATGTTCCAAATATGGCGAGGTCATTGAAATATCGTCCAGTTTCCTACATCTACCCACTATGTGACGTTTAAAATAACTCATTTTCTTTCTTTTCTATACTTTTGTAATCAGTTTCTGTTAAGTCTTCGAATTGAAACAACTCTACGCTATTATGTCTATATTAAATAGTAAAGTGAATAAAACTCCTCCCGGTGGAGTTTGTCATGATCTTTGGGGTGCTGAATTTATAGGATCTCCGTGTCATAACAGGCAAGTATTATGAGTCTTATGGTTGTAGTTTAGTTACTAATGTATTCGTTAATAAATTAAAACCAATTAAGCGTTGAAAGTAAGTAGATTCTATAAAAGTACCTATACAGGTGTCCCACAAATTAAATAATTTTTAGTCTATTGATATGTTTAAGATTTTTTTTAAATATGAATTTATACTCGTTTTCGTTAATTACAACTCGTTTCTTATTGCACTTAACTGTTTTTATTACTAACTTAACTGTATTTATTTTTGTTACTTTACCTCCCGTCCTAAACTTGAAATTTAAAGAACTCCAAAACTGGTAGTCGACTATTCAAAATTGTCAGCAAATTATTCTTATTAAAATAGGTATTTTGAATTTAAAAAAGTGTAACAAAAAAAAAAAAAACAAATAAGTACAAAAAAACGTGGTGTTTATAGCGAAAATGAGAAACAATTATTTTTAAAAATAAAATCTTAAAAATATTCAATAGATGAGAAGTTTTTTCATTTGTCGAATCTTTGTGAGACACCTTGTGTAGAAGAAAAGAAAACCATAATTATATAAAAAATATTATATGATTTAATATAGTTTTCATGACGTGTATTCTAACTTCTAATTGATTTACGAAATATATGTTTTACATATTATGTCAGATCTCAGTTAAAATATACTTCTCTTACCTCGAAATGTTTTTCTCCAAATTTTTCAGAATTGAAACATCAACGGTATTTTGGTTATAATGGCAGATGGAGTCTTATCATATTTTAATTTAAAATTATAGAACGGGAAAACAAAATGCCTATCTAAATTATGTATTTTTGTAAAATTTGTTAAGTAATTGAATAGATTGCCCTTGGTTTCAATCCTGGAATACCTTTTGAATAAATTTTGTTAACTAACTAAGAATCCACTAGAAATCAAGCCATTTTACTAATTAATAATTTTGAAAACATATTTACAGTCATATTGCCTGCAATTATGCTATTATACTGTCCATTTATATTTTAACTGATTTGTTAATTGTTATTAAAATTCAAGTATGAAATATTTATTTTCTTATAGCTATAAAAATGAATTTTATTGCCGTTTATGCTAGCCTAACCTTCTTATTGTAATGTTTACATACCACACCTTATATATATAATTGATAATATTATATCGTAAATTGAGTTTTTTCCACTAAAGAATAATAATGTGAAGGGGCTCAATTATTTTTATTAAATAATTAGGTATTATTATTTTTTATTTACAAAATAGATACAAATAGATCTCACTGAGCATGTTCCTCTGGGGCCCATGAATCTTATCTATTACAATTAAGTCTTTATCTATTACAATCACAAATTCTAGAACACAATACTTAAAATAATTAGTATTATAGAAATTTAAATACACAAAACACAAAATTTAAATATATATATATATATTGCAGTATGGGAAATAGTTCACAATTTATAACAAGTACATGTTCTGCAGCTTGTTGCAAATGCCAATTAGGTAAACTAATTTTCGTACTTAAGGGGTAATAATATTATTTAAATTACATCTGGTGTTAAAATTGTGGCATATTGGTCTTGCTAGGTTAATCTATATTATAAAGATCACAGCTGCTTTGTAGAAAAGTTCTTAAATTGATGGCACATTAAATTATTCATATAGGTTCTTGACGTGCTAATCGCATCTTTTATTTAAGATTAATCTCGAAATATTATTTGGGGCGATTTCTAATTTATTAAGATTACATTTGTTTACTGCATCCTATGCAATTACCATAAGTAAGTGACGAATTTACCAGTGCTTTGTATACCATTTTATTTGGTTGTTGGTTAAAATAAGTCTTGGCTGTTTCAAGGTTTAAGAAAGTTTTCTTTTTTTTTTGTTACTGCATTATTGTGTTCTACTCATTTTTTATTGCAGCTCATTTCTATCCCTAAGTATTTGGCAGTAAAAAAAAATTAAATTTGTTATTACACCAGCATGAGTTTCTGTTAGTAAAGTTACCTGAGTTTAATAAAATATGGTCTATGTTTAGAAAACCATTGTTATACTCACTATATTAGTGTTGAAACAAATTAATACTACTGTTAATTGTTAACAGCCAATACAATTAATTTGTATGAATGTGTTACTTGTGAAAAAAATATTGGCATTTTTTTTTTAATATACAGATAAGTGGTATATACACAAGAACGGCGACCTACTTTGTACGAGATCTTGGCCGTCAACAAAGGTATTCTTGTCATGGTTCTTGACTATGAGGCGGGTACCTCTGTTGACAGGTATCGCACATAAAATTAGTCGCCGTACTTGTGCAAATTATACAGCACCACAGCTTATCTGTATACTAAATCAATGGTATTAGAAACAAAAGATTATTAAATTATAAAAAAAATGTTAATATCATTATGATAAATGCCAAATTATTAAGTAATGTGATAAAATAATCTACTGCTTGCATGCATGTAATCAAAATATTAGCACAAATCAAGAACTTAAATTAAATATTGGTTTCAAACTAAATCTTACATAAGTAATATTTTAAAATACAGTTTATATAATTAATTCAAACTAGGTAAATGGAGATATAATTTTTTTTTTTTACTAAATTCTTTACTGAAGTGTTTTAGGGGTTCATATTAGTTTTAACATAGCATACTGCAAATTAAAAATGTTGTCTAATTATTATAAATAGTGTTTATTTAATTTTTAATAGAGTTTTGAAACCACCTGGTGGAGGCAGCAGTGATATTTTTGGTACAACTACATGCGATGAAGTGAACCCGCATAATCGTGGTAGAAATCAGAAAAATCTTCAAAGTTCCATCATTCTGGGTGGTCAGTCACCTCAACACAAAAATGGTTCAGCTGATGTTGCCGCTGCCACTAATGGAAGTGTCGATAAGCCTGGTAATTTATTAGTTTTGTTTCAACAATAAAACTGCATATCATGCTATGTTTGCTTTTAAAATACAAACAAATTTTGCATCTAGTTAGTAAGTGTCTTCTAGCGGAAGAAACTATTGGTGATTTAGGTAACACAGAAGTTAAAGGTAAGATAGCTTTTGCTTTTATATATATTCTATAATTTTTATTAACTTTGTAGTGTGTATTTCTTGTTAAATTATATATTATTTAATTTTTTGCATTTTATGTTTTTGCTGGACATATTTGAACAGTTCATGGTTTTTTTTAACATTATGAAATTTTTTTAATTAGTTCAATTTCATTAAATCTGACATGTGTGTAGATTACGCTTGGACTCGTTAAAGTTTTCCTAATGCTAACTCTAATAAATAATATTTTTAGCTTCAACATTACAACTATTATTGATCATTAACATTTACATTTAAAAATAAGTATTCAATTATTTCACAGAAAAAAATATATTCATACATTTGAAGGGCTGCGGGGGAAAAAAGATCAATGTCAAATTTTTTTGAAAATGAGATTTTGGTATCAAATTATTTGTATTGACGTATTGTATATTTTATGCGCTCGAACCCGGGAAAAAACTGATTAGTCGAGAGTATCAACCACCAGAAGTTTAGGCATACAGGCAAAATGTATTCCATTTTGAAATTAAAAACATGATTTTCTCAGAATGAAAGAAAATTGACATTGATCTTTTTTCCCCGCAGCCTTTCATTTCTAAAAGCCTTGTATTTAAAATAAAAAATATTATTTCCTAGTTATTTGTTATATATTTAGTTAAGAATAATCAATTTATATTTTGAAACTGAAAAAAAGTCATTATTTTCAACATTTTTTTTTTTATACATAACCTATTATAAATATTTTTTACTAAAAATTGGGAGCAATTTGTACGTTACAACTCAAATAAACCTTTTAGGTGAATTCTCCATATTGTACTATGCTTAATTTTGTGTTGGCTTTTTTTATGATTTATTGCTTGAAGCTAATTTTAATAACCTTGATGATGGTGGCGGTGAAATGAACTATAATTCAAAGAATCAAAGATCTTCGTTAAAAAAAAAAGGTATAATCATAAAATATTTTTCACTTCATACACTTAAGAATTTTAATAAGAATAGTATTTTCCTTATATGTGATCGACCTGTTTCATTTAGTTATTGACTTTAAAATTTAATTCTATTTTTTACTGTAATGTAAAGATTGATTACATATTAAAGCAAAGTTTTGTTTGCATCTATTTTTATACTTGTTTTAATGTTAAGTGGGTTTTGCTCAACTCACTAAATAGTACATACAGGTATTTAACAAGTATTATATTTCAATACATTTTTACTAAATCAAGTTTAATAAGTGTTCATAAATATCACTTATACGGTAGCCTGTAGCCAGTATATTGCTTATATTAGTATAGAAATTCAATGGTATGTTCGAATTACACCGTAGTATTACCTTAGTCTATTTCTTTAAAATAAGTATAATTATGAAATGTGTTGAAAAATTATAATCTTCATAAGAAATAATGATTTTTTTGTAGATGGAAATCCTGTAACAGGTGAAGGATATGAAGCGCCAAAGGCTGCAGCAACTCCAGCCAATCATGTTTCTGCTCAGTCTGTGCCGGCTCCAGAACAAAAGAAACAATCACGTGTACCACCAGGTGGCTACAGTTCTGGTTTATGGTAATAGCGTTTTTACTACGCTAAACCAACTTTATTGTCACAATCTGCATCGCTTTGTATTTAAAAATATATGTATTGATGACTTCTAATAATTTTCTTAAATGATGGTTAATTAATACAAGTCAGTAAATAGTTAATAATTTTATGGTAATAGCAAAGGTGATCTACTTAGTACTCAAAAAAGGATTGTCATTTTCTAAACACTTAAAAATTTGTATTCTTAAATTTTGTAGCGATTATATTTGTGAACTAATTATTCCTACAAAACAATATTTTTTTACACAATAAAATATGTTTTATTTTTATTTTGCGATATTTTTGGTTAAAACAAAACTATCATGAACTTAGCTTAAGTTTTTTTTATACAAGTACATTTTATAAATTATTTTTCAAAGTATTTTTATTATACTTATACGTTTATAAAGGCTTACTGGTAAATAAACAATTGTTTTATAGTTATGGAAACAATAAATAAACAATAATATAAAATAAAACAACAAACAGTTTGTTATTATTCAATTACATGTCTACATGTAATTAGGCTTTATTAATTTTTTAGTTTTTTTAAAATTTCAATATATAAAGGTCATAATATTGAATATTCGTAATATTTTTCATTAAAATATATATTATAATAAATAACAAAAGTAATTGGTTCAATATGGTTCAACCAAACGGAAAAATTTCGCCATAAAATTTTATCAAATAGAAAAAATTCTTCATATTAAATTTAATCATTATAATACCATAATTTTAGGATATAAAATACCTTTTAATACATAAGTTAGATATTTGTTATGTTTACAATTATCCCACATTTTGTATTCTTTTAGCAGTATTAACAAATGGGGTAACTGTAAATATTATATCTTGTTATTAAATTATACAAAATTAATATTTTTTGTATAAAAAAAAATATAGATAACATTTACAACTGCCCGTTCAAACATATAATAGATCATTATTAATAGAAGATTAGGTTAAAATTTCTATTTTAGGTGTACCTCTTCGTACATAAGTTATGTTATTTTTCCATAAATCGAGACATGAGTGATGTATTGTAGATTTTCGGAAAGCATCACAAGACAAATGTTGATCTTGGCATTCCATTAGGTGCTTTGGGTATTGTTGAAGTAAACTATGATTATCACCAGTAGGAGCTACTAAAAACCTACACCTTTGATGTTGATTAACACAACAGTAAATTGGACCTGGATCTAATTCAAATTCTGATCTTAAATCAGTCTTTTGTATTTTTGCTCTATCTGCAAGGAATCCAGTAACAAACAAATCGTCAATCCAAAAATATTTTTCTGTTGTTATTGCTTGTATCAACTGGATAACTGATGTGTTACTGGCTATGTAAAGCCAACCAGATAAAAATGTAGGGTAATTATTATTTTTAAATTCTTCTTTACTGATATACCATTTATTATGTTTATCCCTGATTGGTTTTGATTTAACAACACAACCAGCTAAACTGTACTTCTTGGTTATAATATTATTTAGTTTAAATAAATTAACAGCTACATCATCATCCGTTTTCACCATATAAGATGACTGTCTACAATACTCGCTGAACCATTTTAAAGCCATTACATGTTTATAAGTTAAATTTCGATAGGCTTCTTGAAAGTTTCCTTGAACTATGTCGCCAAATTTAAAAGATTCGTTTACTACCTGTAACTGAATCTCGCTGTTGTTTGGTCTACCTACCATGAAAACATAGTGAAAGCCCAATTGATCAAGAATCGATTTTGGGTATGCATGGCGAATAGCTTGTCGCGTTTTGAAATGTTCAACATGACTGTGAACTAATATCGGGGAATATGATAAACAAACGTTACTATTAATTGTGTAACGAAAATTAAATAAATCTAGTAAGTGACCAGAGGACGGTTTTGGCTGTTTAATTAACAATGGGCTTAACGATGAAAAGTAATCAAAACACCAAAAAAAGGATGCCGTATTAATGATAAGAAGTATAATAATTATTTGATATTTACTAAGTGTCATAGGAATAATGATAGCCGCATCACTGATACACGACCGGATAACATCGCACTTATTTAACATTAATTATAGCCACTACTACTAAAACAATCTAAAACCGTATTTGTATTTTCGGACTTGTAGTATTTTCCACTTGCTAGTCAAATCTCAACTAAAGTGTTTATTAAATACACATTTATTGGTATTATACGACGTAGCTATTTCTGCGACATTCCTAAAGCAGACTCGGATACACTTTCTCTTTTGCATAAAATGGAAAAAATACACCTACCATTCTGCGAATGACCAATAGTGCGTAGGTTACCTTATCACGCCCTACTATATTTGTAAGAAGTACACGTTTTAGTTTAGCACTTGATATTTAAAATAAATATATTATTGCAAAAATGATTGTTCTTACTTCTCTATTATGATTAGGATTTAATTCATATCTGCAATATTAAAACACTTAGATCATTGTTTCTCAATATTTGAGCTACTCAAAAATTAAGTGATGGAAGTATACTACTAGGCTATACTAAGAATAGTCTTCTTCATCGAGCAGTAGTGCAACACCTATTAGATTTTTAATGTTTGTCATAATATTTTATCAAAATGTTAGCAGTGAATAAAAAAAAAATAACGTGCACTAACATCAAGTATCCGATTGAAACTAATATAAAACTTAACTATACTCTATTATAAATCAATGTTAATAACTAAAACTACAAATTGACATAGTTACCCATGTATCATAATTAACAGTGTAATAAAAATGTTTTCGTTGACTGTTGATTCCCTCACACATAGCAACCTGGAAATTGACTACGGTAAAAGTTTAATTTTTCCATTTTTTGGTTTTTCCTTAATAAAAAAAAAGTTTTGTCTACAGATTTTTGAGAAAATTATATATGTTATAGTTCCATTCTAATATTCTAACATTCTAATAGATTTACCTGCGGTCTAAGTTTCAGACGTAAATCCCTAAAACTGCTCGAAAAACTGAAATAAATTCTATCCATTCTAGGAGAGGGTTTATTTTTTTGGTTTGTCAATGTTTATCGGTAGTAGGTTCTATGTTTAAAGAATATTCCATAAACATTTAGAACTAATTCGACTATTTTTAAGAAGTTGTAGAGCATCGCAATTTTAAGTTGAAGAATATTTAAATTGTTTAGGTGTTTTTCTTGGTTTTGATAAAATCTAAAAAAAAAAATTTTCAAAGGGTTGACTTTTTAAAATGTTTGGCCTAATAAAGTATCTTTCAGGTACGGTTTCCGATCAATTGAGTTGCTACACAAAAAAATCGGTTCAGTAGCTTAAAAGATATCGTAGGTCCATGCAAAAATAAAAAATAAAAACATCATCTTAGCTCCACATCGAAGCTAATAAATATAAAGATTAAAGCTAACATATTTATGCCTTCCGGAACTAACGTGAGCATTGAACGTCAAGTAAACCCATTGTACTTTTTTCGCAGTTATAGACGGAACTCAGAATAAAAATGTTCTTAAATTTTAACAATATATACAATAACACTAATTTTAAGAAGAAACATAATTTTCTACCGATATGCATAACATTTTAGTTTAGAAGCTCAGAACTCTATTGTCACATAAAACACCAAATGCTTATCTTCACTTGATCCAACCGCACTTAATCCTATGAGTCAATGTGTTGTGTAAATATTATAAATATTTGTATGTACATTTTTCTTAATAGATACAAAATATGGTACATACATCGTTAAAATTAGAACTATAAGCGTAGAATGGAGGGGAGAGGCTAAGGGGGTTGTTGGGTGGGGGCTACCCAACATTTTCCTTTAGGCCTTCCCATGAAAATACATTAATTTTATTATTAAGTTTATAATACACAGGTCTGAGAATTCCCCCAAGTCTGTATGTTCTCAATTTTTGTTATAGCGCTAAAGCCCCTCTACAGAAGTGCATCGTGCTTCGCCTATGATCAGAACGGTTTTTTTTTTAATTTTGTTTCTATGGAAAAGTAGTTGCAAGATGTCGAGAAAATATTTTCATGTAAGGAAATTTTGTTGTACAGAAGTGATTTTTTTTTAAGGTTAAGAGCGGCTAATTAAATTTATCATAGGGGTGGTAAATTGTTAAATCCACCCCTGCGTCCTCTATATTAATATAACTAATGCAATTCCCTTAAAAATTTCTAGTTTCTGTACTGCTGTTTAGACTTTTAAAAACTATTTTCATCATTATGTACACTTCATATTAGTAAAGTGTTTGTATTATGTTTGACTTGTCTAATTTGTAGCCTTTTCCTAGATCAGGTAGAAATTACCCTTAGTAATATAATGTTCAACTGAACAATAATTTCCTTTGTTTTAGAAAATAACGATGATTATCTATCTTGAATTTGGGTCAGTCGGCCATCGATTTTGGCCCTGCGACCTAAAATTGTGTACGCTACAACAGTATATCAGCCAGTAGCGCCATAATGCACTGCTTTGGCGACTGGCCACACTGCGGTTGGCTGCGGAGCATGTAATAGTAGGTACGATATACACGGCGTGCGCACGCACGATATACGCTACTGCCTACTACTACTATACATAGTACAATACAACACAACACGCACGCTCAGCATTGGCGGCGGCAGTGCAATACGCGTGGGTGCAAGCGAGATGGCAGGTCCACTCGACAGTATTGAGTATACCCGTCCTTTACGCACCTTTTCCAATCAATTGTGAAACAACAGCGCGCCTCCGCTGCTGCTCGCCAACACTACCTCCGAGACCGTACGGATTACCCATCGTGAGCGTACGTCGTTTGTTTTTGTCGTTATTTTTATTTTATACGCCGTTTTATCATTTCGTCGTGAAAATGTAAAAATTCATCATTTAAGTTCTACTCGTCAACAGTGTTCCTACACTAGATCGGTATGTTGTTATGCGACTGCCATACAGACTTGTCCGTAGGCGACGGATCACTCGTCGTTATGCCTGACCATTACGTCCGATAGATTGCTCGCTGTTTTGCCACTGCACATCACGGGTAATTATTACTACAGAATATCATTATCTTGCGTCTGTTTTCTGTTTACCTCTTGATATTATATCACATTTAGATTGTCATTTGTGTGCTCGTCAAATAATCAAAGTGTGATTGTGTGCGTGTATGTGTAGTGTTCGTTTCATTCATCCTTTGTTCCCTATCCAATTATACCTAATCATCTGTTGCGCTAGTGGCGTATGATAACGAGGGAATTTTCATAACTCCATCGAGGTAAGCGTAAGCCACCGCGGTATCAGATCGATATCCGATTTTATCCTGCGTCCCGTACCAATTCTTACAACTAATTAATTTTATTTTCAACTGTATTGTTGTTACAAATTAAAAATCCCATAATTGTACGTTATCTCCGATATCCTATGGATAGGTGAATGGTTATATTGAGTAATTAAATTTAATGTTATGCTTGTATCGTGTATCCCGAATTATAAGCTAATCTACGGAAAAAATAACAAACCAAAATTGTTTAATTTTACTCAGGTACTATAAACAAAAAAAATGTTACTAATTAAGTCTTTATATCATAAAAATTAAAAATCGTTAAATATTAAATCATTGACAATGTTTTTATAATATGTATTTTTTTTTAGTTTCTAATAAAGCTAATAATTTTTTTTTACAATTCAGCAAAGCCCAAAATAACAATTTGTATGTATATAACATATACTTACAAGAACTTGATTATAGCTTATTGAAAATATTGTATGTACATAGATATACATCTACCTTTGTGGTAGATAGCACTGGGGAATAGAAAACTGAGAATCCCTCAAGGATTTTATAACTATTTTAGTTTTTAGATTTGCAGTGGTACACATTTAGTTAGTCATTTGGAATAGGGTCAGTGTAGTGAAGAGGAGGGCATAATCATCTGCCTTAGCCCTGCTATAACATCCAAAAGGAAGTCAAAACCAACTAAGTACAGGAAACGACCAAAAATATACTAATATTTTAGTTTGTGGTTTGACTCAATAATTTGTGTATAGCTCCTAAAAAGAAGTTAAAAATCAAAGAATACTAAATCAAATCTAAACTTCTTGGTTGTTGTGTGGATAATTAAGACATAGAGGTGTATGGAGAAGATAAGAAAATATGTTGACAATAAAGATGGTAGAGAGTGAGAGAGAGGATACTTTTATATTAACCCAATTCTCTCTTATGCGGGGTTTACACGGGACCGTTTAAATAGCAATTCGACAAAGCCACAGGTGACTTAAATCGCAATAGTCAAAATTGACCGTCTTTCGACTTTTGTGTCATTCGGCGAAGGTCGCATGGCGGAGGGTGACCAAAATCGACGGTGAAAATATGACAGCGTGTTTAGTCGCAAACAATCGCTCACACCTTGTGGTAGGAAATTTTTTATTGTGTCGTTTTTTAAGTGCTTCACGCATATTGGTATCACGTTTTTGGATAAGTGGGGTAATTTTATTCAGTAAGGTCTCAAACTGATCAGTAGACATTCTTAAATGTTGCTTAAAATAGTCAGGATCTTCCAAAGCCAATTCCAGCAATAAAGTATCCGATGTCCCAATATTTTACACTGAGAAATCCATTGACATACCCAAATTTTACGTTTCTTCTTTTCCTTCTTCTTTAGTTCTGCAAGTAATTATTGAATAATTAAGTATCGAACTATTTCGACACCAGCACGTAGAAAATGTGTTCTGCTTAACATCGGCGCACCGGTAACTGACATTTTCACACACGTATTTAATTTATTATAAATAATAGAAATAATAATATAAAATTATAAAAGAGCTCGACCGCGACTGACTGACTGTCGACTGCGAAAAACATGAACAAAATGAACTAGTCGTATACAATATTTGTCGACTGTGGAAATGGTGTGGCTGTGCGGCCTTGTGAGGCGATTTCGTCGATGACTAGTCGTGCAGCTAAAATCGACCCAAGTAAACCCCGCATCTTACCATATCTTGATTCCATCTACCTTGTTTTGATGATATAATGTATATAAAACTAAAAATGTAAATGTTTTCCACTACACGGAAAAACATTAAATCATGGATATGTTTTTGTTTATTTCCTAAGGTAGTATTAAAAGAGATAACTTTTGTTCAAAATGTTAAAAAATAACCAGCTTATAAAAATGCAATACCCAGTTGAATCCCCATTGAACCGGGGTTATGCTGTGCTACATACACCCGATTGGCCGTTGAATAACGTCATTTTGTGACATAAAAAGTCTTAAATTGCAGGTGGGTATGTATGCAGCCTAAAAACATATCCATGTTAAAAAAAACTAATAAAAAGTAAATTTTGTCAATAAGATTTAAAAAAAAATTAATTACAACAGCTCGTCTCTAAAGTATTCAATGTTTTATTATTAACTCTATCCCCTAGTAGAAGTGGAGATTTTAGTTAGCTTTCAGCTAGTCACACTTTATAATAGACATTTTTTTTATTTCACTTTTGTGGGAATAGTTTTTGAATTTAAGGTCTGGAAATTAGACATCAAGCACACCTAGTGTTTACATAAAAATCACTATTTTCTCCTAAAATCTTTGGTTTTCCACTTTTTATTGCTTTAATGTAAATCTATAGATTATGTAAAGTATGAAGTATGTTATCAAGTTAATTGGTTTTATTAAAAAACAAAGTAGTAACAAGTATACCAATGGAATTCCATTAACAAATCTGCTTTTATAATTTACCTGAGCTATTATTATTTGGATCGTAAATTCTAACCTAGCTCCTAATCGTATCCTTACTATGTATGATACTTCTTTTCAGTTTTATGCTCTCCTGACTCCTGTAAAGTTGACATAATGGGAATTATGTTTGTCTGGTTATGAGCTACAGATATATTGGTGTATGATTCAAAAATTGTTTATACATTATTTTCCTATTTGTTACTCTATAAAATACAATTTTGATTCTAGTCTATATTATTTAGTAATTTAACACCTGTAATAACAAATCGTAGTTAAATTATATTATGCAAATTTAAATAGAACGACACTTGTTTAAAAAAAAGATGTATCAGTTTGCTTTTACCTATGAAAACTATAATAAACGAACAAATAATATTTCTATGAAAACTGAATATAAATTATTTTTGTTTTGAATAATATGAATGTTACTTATGTTGAAAGTAAATTTGTTAAAACTACTTATTTATTCAACGTCTACTATAAGCCAGATGCCTGAACTGAAGTAATATAAACTTTTAACTTAAAGAAATTATACTTGTAAGTTATGAGGAATACAGCCTGATTTGTAATTAATTACTACAAATATTAGTTCATAGTATTTGGCTTAGTTATAATATTCTACAATCCCTTAGTTTCCTATTTTTTTCTTCAAATATTTTATTTATTAACTAGTATTTAGTAAACTAGATAGCGCAGTGATCCAGTAAATTTGTTTTATTTAAACTGATAAGCTAGTTTCAGGGATACATTACATCTTAGCGGGCTAACACACAACAAATAGCAATCTTTCTATAGCTTTAGTTAATGTCTATAAATTCAAAACTATGATTTATAGATTTAATTTAATATAATGATAACATTACATTGATATAATAATAATTTTTATATTTCTTAGATTTAGAGCAATGAGAGATTGTGGACAGACATATACCGAAATAAACCCACTAATGAAGCCTCACGACACCATGGACTTAATTAACTGCCGTTCCAATATCACAGTTAATGTTAACAATAATAATGATCAGTCTGCTGTAAAAAAACTACCAAAGAAGCGAAAATATGATTTATCTCAACTTGAAGACTGTGATCCTGCTTCTGATCAAGTGCCTCCAGTTCAAAAGCAATGCAATACTAGTTGTGTAGCTAGTGTTGTTGTTGTACCCCCCCAATCTATGGCTGTTGACTATTCTAGACTTGATGGATTTGACCGGCCGAATTATGTTGATGTACCAGTGATTGTTGAGGATCATTGTGAACAAAACGAAGAAACTACATATACGAATGGACATGATGATACAGCAAGATTGGCTGTTGATCTCCAAGAGTGGACTGATCATAGGGTTTTGGCTAAAAGAGATGGAGTCTACTTGCCTGGACTAATTAGACAAGCTACTTCAAATGGAGATGTATGGATAGAATTTGACTATGTTGAAGGTCAGCGATATGTTATATTTAAAGATGTCTTAAATGCTAGTAAATATGATGTGATTTGTGATGCAAGCCCATCATTAAGCCAAGTAAGTAAATTTTTTTTTTTTATATAATTACAGTGATACTATTTAATATTGTAAACTACTAAATTAGTAACCTACAGACTACAGTAGTTGCTGTTATTTATTGACACTTAAAATACCGCTGACATGTTTATAGACTTAATATCAATGGACCACTGATGTATTTATTCATCCAATTTAAATATACCTGATTATATTATTATTTGTATTTATATTATGGAAAAGCACTAAAACTTTAAAGAACTATGGGTTTGAGAATGACCTTTTTAAGAAATAAATAAAAAATAATTGATATTGAAAAATCCGGCCAGGCCAAAGTCTAACTTAATTTAAAAAGATAAATCACTCGTTTTTCCGCTCCACAAAAAAACTGAATTATAGTAATTTTTTTAGATATAATTTTTTCTCCTCTTACCTCACTTCATTTATAACATTATTCCGGTGTCACGACCAATGACGTGACATTAAAATGTCCATGCAAATTTCGGTTTGACCCCCCAAGTTCAGACATATCTATTTTAAAACAGTGTTGAAAGTGCTAATTAACCATTAATGTAAAATATCTAATTGTTTATGATGATAGCATTAAATATTATTGTGACTTCTATGATACATGATTTTATATTAGCTCTATCTGATTTATTATTATTTCTAGTATTATCTTATGATGATTAATTTTTAAACTATGATATCTATGACTTATAATTTTATATTAGATCTATCTGTTACCTTTAAAGAGATTAAATGTTTTTTTTTTTTTTTAATTAATTTTTAAATAATTTTTGTAGGTAATTTTAGTTGAACAATTATTATAACTTGTATAAAACAGAATTGCAGAAATAAAATTCATGTTAATCAGTTTTCTCGCCTAAAATACAAAAATAATATACTGGTCCTATTCTACATTTGCTGATATACTACACTTAAACCTGATTTCATCAATGATTTTAATCGTGGTTAGCCGTTAACCACCAAAACTAGCTGGTTAAACAGACCATTCAAATTTTTGGTGGAATCAGGCCTTAATGAGAAACTTTTTAAAATATTAATTTATAATGAATATTTCTCAACCCTAAGTCTTGTAACCAGACTTGTTAACAACCTATAGTGTCCTCTTAGGATAATACAAAATTGCTGTTATTAAAATATCAGTTTTCGTTGAGTAATAATATTTTAAATATAAGCTATTAAAAAAAAAAAATAGTTAAAGGGAACATTTTGTTCCCTTTAACAAATATTATTTGAGTAATATAGTGTTTATTTGTATATTGTTTATTTATATTATAGGTTAGTATTGGAGCAAGAGTTTGTGTAAGAATAACAGGTTCACAATCAGATGAAGGTCATTCAATTCCTCGTGTATTTATTGAAGGAGTTGTTCTTAAAATTATTACTAGTCCTGTGAGATTTGTAGTAAGTGTAGTATCTGGTAGTAATGAGGAATACATTGTAAAAAGAGCAGATCTTCGCTTACTTTTACCACCTTGGTGGGATGAACTTGAGCATGGTGTACCAAATGGACATATACCTTTAATAAGAGAGCCTACACCTCCAACTACTAATGAGCCATCCAGTTACTATCATTCAGCAGTAACATCTCCTTTACAACCTTTGAATAACCGCCATTTTGATGACTTTTGTGAAAGTGATGATGATCTCCGGCGAGAAGATATTTTATTTATGTCTGATGCTGGTTTGTATTAATTAGCTTGAAATACTCTTTTCACTTATTTATTTTTAGACTAATGACTTTCTTTTTTTTTTGTAAATATATCAACGTAGTGTTTAGTGCAGTTGCAATTGAAATTGGTATTATATGTATCAGAATCGATATTCCCACACACTGCAAAGCAAATGTTACACCACCCTTCTTCATTCCCCTGCACAAGCGCTTTTATTGTTGATAATTTTTTCTTTTTAAAAAACAAAAATTATAAATCAAGAAAAGTCGTTTGAAAATTATAAATATATTCACTCTTTTAGATGCTGGAAAATTATCTGGAAGTAGTAAGAGAAGTAGTATGCAAAGTAGAGGTAGTACATGCAGTATATTGGATCATGGGAGTACAACACCTAGATCAACTCCAGCTACACCAAGATCACAAATTACATCTCCTCATAAATACAAGAAAGGAGATATTGTTACAACACCAAGTGGAATTAGAAAAAAATTTAATGGAAAACAATGGCGCCGTTTATGTTCAAAAGAAGGTTGCTCAAAAGAATCTCAAAGAAGAGGATACTGTTCTAGACACCTAAGCTTAAAAGGCAGTAGTTTGAGATCTTGTGCTTCAAGTAGCACTAGTTTTACAAGGTAATTCAAATTTTATTTTAAATTCTTCTTCTCCTTGGCCTTCATCCCAACTATTTAGGGTCGGCTACCCTTTTCCTAAACCTGACATTTCTCTCTACTTGATCTAACCGCACTTAACCCTATAGTTTACATCCTCATCAAAGTCACTGTTCTTCTGTGAAAGAGATCCTAAATACAACCTTGCCTACTACGTCACCGCTCATTGTCATTAATTGTCTTGTCCCGTCAACCTCTTGTCATCTTCCTCCAAAATGGTATTTAATATATCGTCGACCTATTTAAGCAGTAGGCTTAACTCCAAAATACCAAATTTTACACTTAAAGGAAAAAACACTGAAATATAATCATTAATTTACCAGCCAAGGCACAGTTTTGTTTTTCTTTCAAATAATGTAATATACCGAAAATTTATTTTTTTGGAGATATGTCCTTTGCTAAATAGTCTCATGATATTCTGTTTTACTTCTACTAATCCTTAGTCTCTTACCTTCAAGTGCTATTCTCCACTGTTCAAGCCTATTGTTTTAACTTCTTCCAGATTTTCTCCAACCAAAACTATATCATCTGTAAACATCATGCACCATAAGTATTTCACCCTGTAGTCCTTTAAAACTTTATCCATTACAACAAAAATGAGTAAGGGCGCAAAGCAGAACCCTGGTTCGTTCACACCTACTATAACAATAAAATCTTCTGTTATTCCTGCACACACTTTTGATACTCTTCTTTATACATATCCTCAATCAAACTAATATAACATTTCAGATCTTTTTTCTCATTAACGCCCTCTCTCGGCACTCCATCACATGCCTTCTCTAAACCAAAAAAAACATACATCGATTATTTTTCTTCTCACTTTACTTTTCTACAAGCTGTATCGTACAAAACACTGGTTACATCATTTAATTCCCTGGCATAAAAACCATATGATATTGATATCTCTTATTCATATCTGGTACTTCTAATTTTCTTCTATAATCTTTTCCCAAATCTTCGTACTACTAATACTACTCCTCAAAATCCCTAGACTGGTTGTTTTTCTCTTACCTTAGCCAATTCAAAAACTTCTTTTTACTTTTCTTTGTTCTTAGCTTCTTTTAATACTCATCATATCTCTTTAACTCCGCTTTACTTACCACACTCTTAGCTCCTTTATTCAAACTTTTGTACTCTAACCAATCTTCTCTCCTGTTTTTTGCCATAGCTTTAATTTCTTTTGCTCTTTTTATTTTTGTGCACTTTCTTTCCACTACAGCAAATTCCCATGACTATTAACCTATGCCATGTTGTTACGATCTTACCCGGGATTAATTTAAAATCCTTAATCTACTTTACACTTTCTCTCTTCCACATAAAATAATCAATTTATAGCTTATTTCGTCCACTCTAAGTTATGTAATGTTCTTCTCTCTCCATAAAATATGTGTCTTTTCACTTCTAAAAAAAATAAGTTCTAATCGGTTAAGGCAATATGGTAGTGAAATTGCTAACTTTCTTATTTTTCATCTTAGGCTTTTGAACTATTTTCTCTTGATTCCTCTTAAAAAAAAAATTGTTTATATGTATATAGTGGTAGGAACTTGGGGGGAAAAGGTACTCTCATAAAAGTCGAAATAAATCTACTTCTAATCAATGGAATTCGCGTTCTTGGCCTTATTCTGTTGCGATTGATATACTCAAATAATTGTAGAGAGCGTATTGCTTTAATTAAAGATTTGTAATTTTAGTAGCTTCACAAACTTTATTTTTTTAATTTAATATGACCTTACTCAATACTCAATACTCTAATCCATACAACAATTCTCAATCATAACATTTGTATAAATTTTTACGTTAAATTTAAATTAAAATATTTGAAATGAAAAGTTAATACAATATTTCATATTTTAATGTTTGGACCAAAATTTTAAATTTTATAAATGTTAAAAGTGTATTTAAATCAAATATTCATATATAATATTTATTAACTGTTTAGAATGTAATATGTATAATTTATATTATAATATAAAATTTATTTTATTTTAATTTATACTTAACATAAAATATTGCAATTAGTATTATATTTTATAAATATTTTTTTCCAAGTTTTTTATATTTTCGCAAAATATTTTTTTAAAATTGGGCTACTTTTGAAGAAGCGTTCAAAACCTATAGTTGTGGACCACGTGGCCAGTCCGTTCTATAAAATCAGCATGGACTGAATTTCATATTGCGTACGAGTCCGCAACTACGGGAGACATTTAATGTCCACGGGAGGATATAATAATATATTGACTGATCAGCAAGTGGACCAAACCCATCCCCATCCCAACCCCATTTATAAGGATATATATAAGGAATGTTAGGTTTTTTGGTAACCGGTTGTGTGCCAAAGTAAAGACATATCTCTTATCTCTCTTATAAATCATCTGATATTTTCGTGAGATTTTTTGGTAATGCTAAAAACTGTCGTTTTTTTCTTTTTGTGTGCCAAAGTAAAGACATAAAATGTCATAATGGGTTTTATGCCTTCCGCTTTCCTCCTCCTCCCAACCCCCTATTGATTCTATCAAAAAACCCTCTCTACAATTTGATAAGCATATCACCTGAAACAGAACATGACCAAGAGTGTGAAAATCCATTGATTTAAGTGAAGTTATTTCGAGATTTGTACTGTCAAACATGCAAAAAACTCATAAGCAGGAAATGAGCTTTAAAGTTAGTATAAGCATGCTCTGAAAGTGTAAAAACACGCACATACAAGGTCCAGACCCATCTACTCAAAGGCAAATAAAAAGCGGAAATTTTAAGTTTTTGGGTAGATTTCACTAGCATATTGCCTTAATTAGACTATTATTGTATATATTATTATCATATTATATATCACATGTATTATGCGTTAAATTGGTTATTGTGACTACTATCAAAAAATCACATGAATATTTTGTACAAGGATGTACAATAAATTGATTAATTTTGGTTGGATAAATTATAGTTTTATTATTTATAACAGCTTCAGAAACATTTTTATATTTCTGTCTGTTCATTAGGTATGACTTAAGTACATATTTTCACAATTTTAACATCTCAATAAACTGTATTTGAATGTACAAAATTATATGAATGATGTACTGCCTAATTTTTTTGTAATCACTGACCTAATCAACTTACTCTATACTTATACTTATCTATATCTTATATGTTCTTTTCCGGTAGTCTTGTTAACCAACTAATTACCATAAAATTAATTAAGTCTTGTACTTATAAATTTTGTCTGGAGGAGGAGGAGTGTCTGAGTGGGTAAGGCAGCAGTGTGTTAGCGCTCACTGTTGCCGGTTTGACACTCGGTCACGGGAGCTCCGTTTGCTTGGCGAGCAATCGTCCGGTGAAAAGGAACCGCTATCTCCTCTCTCCGGAGATGGATCGACGACTCGTCCCGGATAGTGAATTCGTCAAAAAACCATCTCATGATGGCAGCGTTAGGCCTTCATGATCCGTTTAGCTACATGATGATGACTTATAAATTTTGTATATAAAGTTAATATATAGTATCAGTTTATCATAAAATTTGTTATGAATAAATATTTAATTTTCAGAGGAAATAGAAGTGCCATAGATGGAGATGAAACGTCTCGAGAATCTCAAACTTCCCCAAGTTTTTCTGAACGTCGACTAGCTGGCCGTTTTGATCCAGATGAAACAGAAGCTGCCAACATGCTTGGTACACAACGTAATAATTAAGTTCTAACATTCTCGTCTGATTATTTGTCAAGGCCGGCGGGGCAATAGCAATATTATTGTACAAGACTTTGCCCTACTTACCTTTTTTAGAGTAGCATATATAATACGTAAGGCAAAGCTAAAACCTTATAACATGTTCTTGAAAAAACTTAGCAACACTTGTGGTTATATAATAATATTATATATATTATATAGTAAAGAAATATTTAAATAAACCCTTAACCACAAAAATAATACTCTGTAGCGTATACATATTTCAGAAGCAATGCTACCATCAACAGCGCACACAACAGACTGTTGGTTTTTCGTGTTAACAGTTTATTTAAATATTTAATTATTGTATTTCTTTACTTATAACATGTTCTGGTGCTACTTATGTTGACAACTTACTAACAATATTACATATAAAACCTAATTTTATGTTTAGAAAAATATATTAAATATACTTTTTTTTTGCAGTTTCTTTAGGAAGTTCAAGGTCAGGAACTCCTTTATACTCATCCCCTTGTCCACTGGGTAACAGTAATACACAGTCGCCACTTACAGTAGGATCTCGTCAAAATATGTTCCTACCAATTATTTTACCAGCAAACCAGAGTTACCCATCTACTACACCAACAGGAAATGGACATGCTACACCACCAACTATGAACAATACTTCTACTAATCAATATAGGCAACAACAACTTGTCAAGTATGGCATTTGTCAAACTTTACACTACTTCACAAAATTTTACTACTTAAAATGTTTACTATGAAAATTTAAATTCAGTTTTTTTTTTTAATAAATATTTGTAATGGCTGGTCTTATTGTATGTGAAAAATATTTGAAGCGACACTTTTGTCACTCAATGAGATAAGGGATCCAATATGGTGAAGGAGATAAGAAATGGAGGGAATGGGGTGAATCAGCTGATTGTATTGTGCCAAAGGCCCCGTGAGACATGTACATGATTTAATGCCCTTCTTTTAAGGGAAATAATTTGTTAGTTTATAGACTACTAATAATTAATATTTTGGAGTACGTAAATAACACCAAAAAAAAAAATTGAAAATCATATTTTTTTAATCTTAATTTTTTATGAAAAATACTTTTTAAATAGGCTGTTTTTTTTATTTATTTTAACTTCATATAATTAACAGTTAACATTAGTTTTTACTTAATATTTTTATTTATTCCAAAAAAAATAACATGTATTCATAGTCTATAATAATTTAATTATTTGATGGAAAAGCAAAATAGGAAAATCTTAATTTTCCTGGATAGTATAAATTAGTAATACCTTGAGGGACATTATTTAAATTATTTAATATTATTTCAGACCAGAATTGTTAAGGCCTAACACCCAACATGGTTTACAAGATTCATTGCCCATATCCAGTCAAACTAGTGTAATTCGTATATCACCGCACACAATCCAACCAAAAGTAACCAGTGTCACGGTAAGTTCTCAGACACAGGCCAGTTGGAGAGGTGTTGTTTCATCCCCTCAGCAATCAAATAAACCAATAAACCAGCCTTCGGGTCTATGGCAGGTAGAAAGACATCCAAGTGTTGTTGTGTCATCACAACAACATGGTCACATTTTAGAAAAAGCATTAACTACGGTTGAATTGGTAAGTATAATTATTTTTCGGAGATCTCTTAAAAATGTATTTATTTTGTAGGGACCACTTTATGTCAAAAATAAAACATAACATTTACATAAACAGCTTTTGTCTAAATGATTTTCTAATATATTAAGTTATAACAAAATTGTGTCAGTTTCAAGTAAATAAAAGAGTATTGATGATAAAACATTTGTTTTATGAAACAATAGAGTTAAAAACAAATTTTTAAAAAAAGCTGTACAGTGAGGTTGGGGCATAGTGAGGACAAAGAATATTGGAACGAGGGAGGTCACTGATCATATGAATATGAATTATTACAACTGAAAGTGGTAAAGTACCTTAATAAAAAAAAAGTTTGACTTCAGATTTTGAGAAAATTGTATATAGTATAGCTTCATTCTAGATCTACCCTCGGTCTAATTTTCAGATCTAAAAGTCCTAAAAGTTTGTACTATAGTAAATATGCTAGAAAATAACTACTACAACAGTTATTTGTTATCAATGTTTTGCTCAGAGAAAATAACTTTAAAAGTTATGTAACTAAAAACCTTAATATTATTCAATTACTCTTAAATTAATTGCCTTATTAATGTTTATTATTTTCATGTCTCCTAGATCTTAAGAAAAGCCCTTTTCGTTCCTTGTATTTGTATATATCTTTATAAACATTTGTTGAGATCATTGAACATACATGTTGTACAAAAATAAAATATCTTATTTATAAATATTTTTTTGTCTAACTTAGTAGGAATGGTTGTTATGTATCATGTCATGTACTTAAGTTATTACATAAATTCTCTTTTTTTTAGAATGGTCATGACACCTATAGTCGTATAACTGAAAATAGCGAAGTATTTTCCAGAGATAATGAAAATATTGTGTATCAAGAATCTGTAATAAAAAAAGATCCGCACGTTGGTGTGGGAATTAATGTACCTTATTCACAACCTTTGGTAATCAATTCTGGATATAATCAGGTATGTTAATGTATTATATTTTTGTACTATTCAGTGATCTATTTTATGTAAGACACTCAATATCTTCTAAAATAATTGTAATTTTATAATTTTTCTTTATGAAAAATGTTTTGTGTATATGTATAATATAGTATACTATTATAAAATTACCTTTTTTAGAATTTTCTAGAACACTATGAAACTATGAACTTTTGAAATTTTTAAACTAAAAAGCAACATAGTTAAATTAAGAATAATTGACAATTTTGACTGCACTCCCATCCTTCCTACCATCTTACTAATTTTCAGTAAAAATCTGTGTGTTTTATATTAAATGGATCACCTTGTATTCAGTGTGACCAATGATAAAGATGAAAAATGTAATGATTTTTAATTTGATTTTGGTTTTTAAAAATTGTGTAAAAAATATTAAGCAGACATATATTTTTAATATAACATATTTTGAGCCCACTGTATAACGTAAAATATTATTGTTAATTGTTATTTTATAAAAAATAGAGAGTTCAAAACATTCCAAGTTCAATTACAACACCTTCAGTTGTTACTAAACACAGCTACGCTGCCCCTCAAAATGAGTATCACGATTATCAAAACAAAAATTCTGTAGTTCAACAAGTTATTGTTCACCCTACTGAACTTTTACCTGTGTTGCCTATTATGGAAGATAGAAAAGAAGAACCGCCTGAACCCAGCCCGACTCTTACAAGTAATTAAATATTAGTTTTTTTATAAAGATCAAATTTGGTCTTAAATTAGGATTAACTTTGTGCTCAAAAGTGCGACCTATCAACAAATTTTAAGTTTAATGTGCAATCTACCATTAGATTATTAGCCCCTACCGCTTCAGAGGATGCCACATAATTTTTTGTGTGTAAAAAATTGTCTCTATAGTAGTTTTATCATAAAAATTCATCTCCTATTAATTAAATATTATGGCTTTATTTCAGTTTCCAGCGTAGGAGATTTTTTATAAAGTTAACTTTTAATTTGCGTGTATTCGTAAAATTTGGCTTTAAATCTAATTATTGATAATATTAGTCATTAGGTTGCACCTTAATCTCTTATTATACTATTATTAATATTGGTAGGTCACAATAGGGTAGTATTGACTGATATCATAATTTTTATTTTTATTATATTTTGCAGATAATGATAATGGAAATTTAACTGTATATTCTTGGGATTCTTTACTTCCGATTTTAAATTCAGAAGAAGTAGTTCAAACTACTATTTCTACTGTGCCTAAATCACTTACTCCTCCATTGTCAGCTCCGCCTATTCTAACACCACCACCAGCGGAATCCCCTGATGTTGATGATGATGATGTGTTCGAACAAGAACCCTGTGATACTGATGATCAAACATTGAATACTGCAGCTGGAAAGCGTAGAACACAATCTCTGAGTGCATTACAAAATTCAAAAGAACCGCAAAGTCCACTAACAAAAGCTAAAGATCGTATTCGAAGACCAATGAATGCTTTTATGATATTTAGTAAAAGACATCGTGCCTTGGTTCATCAAAGACATCCCAATCAGGACAATAGGACCGTATCAAAAATCCTTGGTGAATGGTGGTATGCATTGGAGCCAGATCAAAAACAAAAATACCATGAATTAGCTTCTGAAGTAAAAGAAGCTCACTTTAAAGCGCATCCAGAGTGGAAGTGGTGTAGTAAAGATAGAAGGAAGTCAAGCGGAAGTGGTCGATCTAAACTAGGATCTACTGATGAACATCCATCTCTTGATCATGATCCTATGGTCGATGTGACCTTAGAAATGTCAGATGAACAAAAAACACCTGTCAAAAAAGAAATGGATGTAGAAATGAAAAATGATTCTGAGGATGAACAAATGGTATGTGTAGTTTGTACTCCAAAATTACATTAAATAACATATTTTTTTTTCTATAGATTGTAGCTGAAGCTCCAGAGATTGATCTTAAGTGTAAAGAAAAGGTAACTGACTCTGATACAGAGTCTCAAAGTGATGCTGAGCCATTACAAGATAACAAAATATTTCCTCAACAGAGGTTTAGTCCAGTGAAATCTTCGAGTTCTGGAGAAGTGACATGCCGACCTAAACCTATTAAAGCCAGGTAATGTAAATACATGTTAAAATACACATTTAAAAAAAATAATTATTATTATTTTGCTCTTTTGCGTTTGTCTTAATAATTTTAGGTTACAAATGTTTTAAAAAATATATTATAATCAGCAAAAATGTATAATAGTATTCGAATCCTTCGAATATATAAATAGTAATAATAATTAATTTACAAATAGTTTTTTTTCAACTATCAAATAATTATTGGAATATTCGAATATTCAAATTTTTAAAAATTAGGTATTCGAATCCTTCGAAGATTTGAATCCAAATTACAACACTAATACTTATTAATACAGTAATAAGGATACTTTGTTGATTGCCATTTTTTTTCAGTCTATCACAGTCATTTGTATAGGTTAAATTACAATTATTTTCCCATCAAAACTGCTTTGCGCGGATTAATTTTTCTCAGGCTTCTTTATAGTTAAGGAGAGAAATGCATACTTTTTTTATACATGACAAAATTATCTGTGCTCCAGCATCCGTATTTTTTCATTTTACCTAATCAACCAATGCTATATCATTTTTAAAAAAAGTCTTTTCTTAATTAATTAATTATTCATTAACTTAAAAAAGAGCCATGGTAGAGCACAGACAATGTTGTTGTCTATATTATGTGAAAATTTGGTTTCTTATTTTTGATTACAGTCTTTGTAAAATTACGCAGCGCAAGGCGGGTTTTTTGAAGAAAATAACGGGTGTGTGTGATGCCATCTTAACCAATACAAGCCCACTATCTGTCCTAAGTATTTTAACTTTATTTCTGGTAACTGTAACAATAAAAAATACTTAGACTTAGTAAAATAACTTCCAATAGTCCACACAAATCTGTGTATATCAACTCTATAGCTGCACTTGTAGCTTGACGCTCCCGATTCTTATTGCCTTCATTTAATTTGAGGTATTCTCTGTTAATAAATGCATTCTTATTAGGCTTGTGACCTATTGTAGGCTTTTTAAGTACTTCTTGCAATCTTTTTTCCAGTGACCTTGTGAATCGCAACGAAAACATTTACATATTTAAAATAAAAAAAGAAATATACAAAGAAATTTGTATTGGAGAATAATGGTGTCAGTATAGATACTAAGGTATTTTTGAATAGAATAACCTAACTATGTATAACTTGTCAAGTTATAAAACTCAGGGTTCTATCGTAGGAATGCTAACTATATTATTTATATTATAAATTTATTTATTTCAATTTTATGATCCATATTTCTTAAAATAACTTACATCCTATGTTAAATAAAATAAAAAGTTAATTCTCATTATTTTAACTAAAATAAATATAATAATAGACCTGTGTTCTTGTTTCTTAAAGATTGGTGTCTGCAAGTTCAACAGATTCAAAATATCAGTCTAAAACTATCAACTCAAGAGAACCAACAACGCCGATTCTGTACCCATATCATTCCCCTATTAATCCTTTAGGCGTTTCTCCATTTCAACCTACCGGTGGTGCTTTTAAATTAATGCCAGCCTCACCAAAAGTTAAGAATCCTACTGATCAATTACCAATGCATATATCTGAAGCAACATGGACATCTGGAACCGAGACTTGGAATCAAACTAAATTGATTAATACGAATGCTTGGGCTGCTTCTACTGCTGAGTGGAATAACAACAAACCAACAAACACAACAACTGTAAATTCAAAAATTGTTGTAACACCTTTGTCACAACAGAACATATTTCATTATACTTCTTCTCCAAATAAAGATTCTGAACAAAAACCAGCAGCGTGTTCAGTTAGACAAGTAATAGGTGGCCGTCCTGTTTTAATACAAACTGCAGCTAAAAGTCAGTCTGGTAGTCAACAGCAAGCACTAACTTTAGCTTTTGTAAATTCTGGAGATTCAACAACTTCATTAGTAACTAATTTGCTAGTACCCACTAGTAACGACAATAGAAATACTTCAGCCACTCTGCAATATGTTATACCCAATAGACTGTCAAATATTTATTTACCTCAACAGACACAAACTGGTAATAAATAATATAGTTTATTTAAAATAATAATATTTATTTGTAATACAATGTTTGGTAAATCAGGTAAATCAAATCAAACACCCCCAGCAAAACCAACTCAGTCCTCTACTGTTATTGTGAGCACAAACAACACTTCATTGGTTTTTCATTCGTAAGTATAGTTAAATATTGTGTAATGTAATGTTCAAAAAAATTATTAAAACTTGCCGAAATTAGAGTATATTCTTGAAAGAGAAACATAGAAAAAATTGTTATCATTATTATTTATTTTTTGTGTATTTTGCAGTGATTCTGGAAATTCAGAAAAAATTTCAAACATCACAAGTAATTAATTATTTTATATGTAATAATAACCTAATAAATATCAATGTTTTTTTTTTTTTTTTAGAAAAACGTGAACCTGACATTGTAATTAGAGCTGATAATGATGAAAATTTAATATCCTTTGAGAAATCACAAAACAGTAGTTTAAAAAATAATATTTCACCCATCATATTTGATTTTAGAGATGATAATAATAAGGTAATCTATAAAATACATTTTATAGCTTAATGTCATTAATAGTTTGCACAAAAACCCTATTTTTTTCTTGAAAGATTTATGATTTTTAAAATAACTGTCGCTGTAAGTGGTAATATTATTTCCTGCACCATCAAAGCTACATAACACTCAATTGAACTTTACTACATTCGTTTCTTTAATTGAAAAACTAAAATTTCTAAATTTAGGCTAGTAAATAGTTCTGATTGAAATAATTTCAAGTAAACATTCCTTAGCAATAGTTAAATGAATATAATAGTTTTAAAATTAAAATAAAGACATTTTTTCACATGATGCTTTGCCTATTTGACAATATGAACAAATATGATGTAAAAAGTATTTATTGAAGTTTTAAAAAATTCCAGGACGATAATATAAAAAATGATGTTGAAGAAAAACCATTTGTACTTGCTCCCACTCCTGCACAACTTGGGAAAGCACCATTACAAAGAAGGCAATCTATGGGTAATTATTTAATCTGATTTCAAATAATGACAAAAATATACATCCAGTCCTAGTCCTAGGATCCAGTTCCAATTCCAATCGTAAAAAGCGACCCCAGAATCGTAGTACATAAAATCGGACTGTTCCTTTAATCATCACCTACCATTCGCTCGAGTACCGTGGTTACCTTGGTTATAAACCAAGTGTTTATTTTGGGCTCGAAAAACGAAAATTATTTTGTTTTTAAAGTACAAAATTAGTGTTTGAGGCCACCCTTAGGGGTGGAATTTTCGAAAAGTACTATGCCTTTGCGGGAGTGTACTCAACAACTTCATAAAGTTTCATGGCGATTGGATGAATGGTGTACTAATGCATTAAGAACAAACAGACAAACATACATTCATTTTTAAATATACTGTATTCAGAATAAGATAGTTTTCGTCGGGCGGCACTTCAGGCACCGCCCATTTTACATTTTGTCTGTCACTGGCGGCAGTGTTCAAGGTCCATTGCTCGTAGTGAAGCCACGCCCATGCGCACAAGTCGGCCGCCGAAGCCGGTTCTTATTCTGAAAAGAGTTTAGATAGATAGATAATTTTAAAACAAATTATTTAGTTTTTTTTATATTTTAATCTTTGTTATGTAGTTGTAAAAAGTATAAACTTTAATAATATAACTTAAATAATAAGGCTTTTAATTATCAAGTTACCAAACAAATTACTACAATAATACCACATAAGTATATATATATATATCTTTTTATAATTTAAAATACAGTATTTTTTATGTTTTAGGAAATTAGTCATGTTGTTCTCTTTTATTATACTAAATTAACGACTAAAAAGTGTTGACACCCTTAATGAGAACTAAAATGTTGGTTTCTATTTTTAGCCAATAATATTATTATTTTTTTTTTTTTTTACTGAATCACACATTCTTACTTTTTGATAAATATTAACTATCATATTTAGCTATTTACCAACTAATATTTCGTTTTTAGATGAGGCATTTAGCTTTGGCCATTGTCAATTATTTAACTTAATAATTTTTACTAAATAAAAATATTATTAAATTTTTAATTAAAATACTAGCATATAAATGTTCTATTTCTTTATATAAGGTCGCTCTTATAAAATTTAAATTTAATTAAACCAAAAAGAAAATGTATTTAATTAATTAATTACAAAAATATTTCTTTATAAAGCTAGTCCATAAATTAGAAACTGTATGGCAAATGTACTTTTTTAGACCAAAAGTTTAAAAAAAAGAAGAGTGTACCTATTCTCTGAAAACTTAAATGTGGTAGAAAGTATATTTATACATTGTTCATTTGTTTTTTAGTGTCTTCTAGTCAAGATTCATTACCTAGTTCTCTACCTGATAAAGATTCAGAACTGCTAGAAGATGTAACCGAAGATATACCAGAATCACCTTCGACAAAACGTAGTTTCTTCAAGAAAAATATTGAAGATGGAATGGATCGAGTATTAGAACAAGTTAACTTTGAAATGAAATTTTCTTCATTGCCTCAGTTTAAACCAGATGAATGTAATTCACCAAGTGCAATATCAGTACCGTCTAGCCCCCATGTCTTTAATGCTCAAACATTCCGCAAAAAACAATTAGCTGAATGCGACGCTCAAGTGGAAACTCCTAACTCATCAGGAAAACTAGTTGGAAACACATTTTTCGGTCCTGACTTTAATCCTGAAGCGTACAGAGGGGTATTGGATCAGGAAGATACAGTTGCAGCTTCACCTAGGACTCCTAAAACTCCAAGTGGTCGAAATGATAGCTCAGCAGCTGAAAAAGGACATAGAAAAATGTTAGAACAAAGAAGACAACTAGTCATGACTTTATTCCAAGAGCAAGGCATGTTTCCCTCTACTCAAGCAACTTCAATATTTCAGGTAACCAACAATTTTTAAGTCTTTAATGTAAACTACTATTTCTACTTGATTTTATTAGACTAGCCAGAGAAAACAAGTTGTTTAAAGTATAATCCAACTTCTCATACAGTCTAGTTTTAAAAAAAATAATATTATAGAATATCATTTTGTTACTTCACATTAACACTTTCTTCAACACTACTGATGCGTATACGCCGTCATAAAACTTTTATTTCAATGAGCTATTGACGTGCTTTGCATTCAATTTTTATAGGTACATTTCTGTTCAGCATTTTGAGTAGAACTTCAATGTTGATGACTATAAATATGCATTTTAAAATGTCAAAATATGCAATTATATGCCTTTATTGAAATCGGCTAAAAGAAATTAGCTGACGACATAATATAAATAACATTTTACGTAGGTTAATTATTTAAAAAGGTATTTTACGTATCAGGATAAGATTAAATTACAATTATTTTAGACATTTTGGACAATATTTTATAACCAGAATTTTTGTTTAATACATGGTCCGGCATAAAAACTTCCTTTATTTAGAAATGGCACTGTGGGAGTTGTGGTGGTGGTACAACGGTGGAGGGGGTATCGATCGATAGCTGTATACATGCCATTTTCTTTTGATCTAACCTAAACCAGTTTGCTAGGAACCATGATGAGGAAAAGTCTGGTTCCAACAAGATGGTGCCACAGGTCACACTTCGCGGCGCTCCCTAGCAATCTGGAGACAGTTGTTTCCTGGACGTCTTCTCTCTTTGCTTGGAGACATCACCTGCCGCCAAGGTCACCCGATTTATCCCCTTGCGGTTTTTTTCTTTGAGGACTTAAGAAGGCAATCACCCAGGCAGTGGCTGCCATTACACCGGAAATGATACGAAGAGCTATGGCCTTTCTCGAAAGTTAAAAGTGAACGCCGCAAAGTGTAACCTGTGGCACCATCTTGTTGGAACCAGACTTCTCCCACATCATGGTTCCTAGCAAACTGGTTTAGGTTAGTTCAAAAGAAAATGGCATGTATACAGCTATCGATCGATACCCCCTCCACCGTTGTACCACCACCACAACTCCCACAGTACCATTTCTAAATAAGGGAGGTTTTTTTGCCAGACCCTGTACTTTTTCTCATGTTGTGCATAATTTTCTTTAGCTCATATTCACAAATACAATTATAATAAAATAGAACATTTTTAATAATTATTCTTACAACTATACTATTAAATCTAGAAATATTCATTATAGGCAAATATGCTCAAGTGTCAAATAAGCAACTATATGCTGATTTTAAATCTAGTCTTAGGGAATTAAATTTATATTGCGCTTGAGTATAATTCTAATTTCACTAAAAAAAATAGGCAGGTTTAAAGGTTGGAGTATTTTATGGAAAACTCTGAAACTTCAACATTGAAAGTTTTAAATAAATATTTATAAGTTGTTATACTTTTACAGGCTAACCATGCTGAAATATTTCCCAACAAGTCGTCGTTACAATTAAAGATAAGAGAAGTTCGTCAAAAATTAATGGCACATAACACATTAACACCGAGTAGTGCAAGTGCTTTAAACAGTCCTAATGAAACATCATCTAATACACCAAGTAAGAAAATGAATTTCTATCATAATCTATATTACTTGAAATACTAAAAACAATGGTAAGGGAGATTTTTAATCTTATTCATGTGTGATATATCTAAATTTTATTTCTCTAATATAATAAAGATTTTACTTAACAATCTTTTAGCTAAACCTCCTATTGTTTCATAAAAAAATTACTGTACATAACCCTGGTTTGATTTTGCTTAAACTAATATAAATGTGAGTTACTTATCGAAAGTCAAAATAATGTTGTAAATAAATATTATTTGATGATAAATTAATTATTCATAAGTATTTTAACTGGAAAAAATTGTTACTTCATATTTAAATTTATAAAAAATTACCATTATGTATTTTTCATTTAAGGTTCATCAACACATCCACCTTCACAACAACCGCCTAGTGTAATGACGTCCAGCTAACATCAATATGTGATTACATTCAACTACACTTTTTTATAAACTGTAGACTATATACATAGTTTGCAATATTTAGACTTGTTAAGAGTTCATAATTGTTAAATATTTATTTTGTATAAAAATACCATAGTGTAATCGTTTTAACGATTAGTTCATGTTTTCTTTATGTGTAACGTGTACACTTAGATGTTTCTATTTTTTTTCTGGTTTACCAATTTGGTAAATAATAGGATTTAAATGTCAATAGACTTGTACTCAATATATATAAAAATAAATAAAAGAGTAAATACTCTAATGTTTTGACAACAATATCTGGTGATATCAGCTGTTTTTTTTTTAATAGTATTGATCAGAGCAAATGTGCCCTTACCTCAACTTTTCTTTTTATATAGTTGTGTAAAAAAAAATTTAATTATTATTTATTATTAATAAGAACGATCTCTTAACTCGATAGCCACATCCATCACCACAAGAGTCTTTCAAAATGTACATTATTATTATAGTTTAAAATCACACATAATAACCTTTTATACTTACTGTAGGTTGCTTAATATTACTATTAAACTTATAATGTGCCATTGATATAATATTTGCTAATTTATGTTTTATTATCCAGCGACTTCTATGGTCTTGATTATAATAATGATTAACTTATATTGTTTACTATTGGTTGCATCCTCCTTTTTTTTTTAATAAAAGAACTATTATATTAAGTTATAAAATAAAATATTAATAATCATTTTGGTATCTTATTGGATTTATTTTGTTATTTATTGCATTGTGAAAATATCTAAAATAAAAATTCTAACTTTTAATCATAATAAACATAAATACTTAAATATAATATAATATAATATATTTATATATATATATATATATATTTGTATATCATTTTTTTTTTTTTTATGCTCAAGTTGTATTAATTTCTTATATTATACACTTTGTAGTTTATTTGTATTATAAAAAAAAAACTTTACATTTATTCAAAACAAATTTAAAACATATATATATATATATTTAGAAGAAATTTGATCAAAGATGCAAAATTAAATTTAAAGTACCATTCTAAATTATGTGTATATATATAGTGTGTGTGTGTGTGTGTTTAAATTATACACATTTTTCTTTTAAATGCATTTTTTGCTAATGAATACGATTTTGCTCAACAAAAATGCATTAGTTTTACGGGTACTTTTTACAATTATTTTTTTGTAGTGAAATATCAATTTTATTCATCGTTAAACTAAACAAATCATATTATATATTCTATACTGTATACTTTGTTAAATTCTTTATAATTTATACATTTTTAAAACTAGTTAAACCACTTGTGTTTAATGTAGTTATCAGAGATAAATCATTTAATTATATTGATACTTGTTTGCTTTGTTCATGACAAATTTAATTGTATATTTATTATAATATATCTAAGTTACTTGTACATATATTATTAAACACTAAAATGTGTTTAAATGTTATATTTGTAAGCACAAATGTATTAAGTAAAAACAAAACGAATTTGAAAGATATTATTATGTAATTATTATTTCTTACCACTAAAGTACATTTTATAGTTATTCTATAGACGAAACTAATAGTTTTTATAAAATACATAAGAAAATAAAATGATCAAAATTCTATATGTATACGTATTTTGATATAATTACCAGCTTATATAGACAATGAACGAACCTATCTCCTTTATCTACATTTCAGATATTTCATGTTTCTCTTTACCAATTAAAAACATACAATAATTATTAATAAATATATGCTAAATTAAAAAAAAACAATTTTTTCTTATTAAATAATTTTTAATCACAGTAAGTTATAATTGTAACTGTCAATGAATGAATATCTTTTGAAACGTTTTGTTATGTCTATTATTAGTATACTACACAAATTTCATAACTAATTATATATTATAATGATAACTTTTGACTATTTTTTTTTTAATAACGATAAAATACCTTATATTTTAAAATAAAAATGCTTTATTATTTGTTATTGGCCGAAAATGATTTTAATTTATCAATTACCATTGATATATTTTATTTTAAAGTTGAATCATAACATTAAATGTATGTATTTCAATTTTTGTTAAGTATTAGTTTTGTTTATGTTACTTAATTAATTATAAAATGAAAAAAAAGGAATCTATAACATAATAACTTCATAAATATATGTATATATATATATATTTTTTTTTAAATTAAATATTTAGTTGTTTAAAAAATTACACTATTTAAAAAAATGTAAAGTATATGTATAATCTAATGCATTGTTGTATTATGATAAAAATTATAACAGATATTATTGATATTTAAAGGTTTGATTTAATAAAACTATATTTTTCCTTATGTTTAAAGAGAAGGATTCAGACTTGGATAACTGGTTCTGTGTTTGCTCGCTTTCAATTAACCTTCTATAATAATGCTTTGCTCGGGCTCCTATTAGGTTAAAACCATTGTGATGTATGACACAATAACCTTATTGACCCTTAGTTTATTAAGACTTAGCTAATTTTTAATATATGTACAAGTAGTTTAATAATGAGTATTTATTACACATTATTTTTACAACATTGGTAGTAGGGTTAAACATTATAGATCACTACGTACATACGAAAATGGGAAATTCTACTGATGATTATGTTTCTCTCAATGTCATATAATTTAATATAACAAATAATTTTGTTAAAATTTTATTAAATGGCCGTTCAAGTCCATTTATTTAGCATAAAAACTTCACTACGGGAAATTAATACCTAAGAAATCAAAAACTTCTCTAATAACCTTGTTTTAATTATTATTAAAATAATTTTCTTAAATAATAAAAGTTTTTAAAAGAACATTACTAAAATTCAACAACAGTTTTGGTAAATTTAAATAAAGACATATAACCCCTCTGCCTCTGCTTGTCGAAAATGTATTATAGCTTAAGCTAAAAACTAACAAGAAATTTTCGTAAAAAATTGCCTGAAGAAAATCACACATTTTTCTAGTTAAGTTAATTAAAAAAGTTGGAAAATAATAATAGCGTAAGTCAAAGAATAGCATAACACATTTTGGTTTTCGTTTAATGTACTACTAAGTTTTTTTACGGTTTAACTTTCATTCACAAAAATGCAATGAGATTATTGTTTACAGAATTAACTGCTATTAATAAAACATTTTTCTTAAAACTTACCAATTCTAAAACTATTTATCCAACATTTAACTCAGTTAGAAAAATAACTTCAAATTTAGAACAATTCAAAAAAATTGCATATTAGGTATTTTTATCTTGTTTTGAATAGTTTTTCTGATTTTCCCAAAATTTCAAAAAGTTTAGATAATTTGATTTGGAAATATGATACGCAATTATACATACATAGAATGATAAATATATAATTAAACAGTTACATACAAAGTATATATAAATCATTTTTATTTCATAATAGTTTTTATCATAAAATATTCAATAACAAAATATTCGTTATATAAGTTAGTTTTAATTCCAAATAGTATTTTACTCATACTTAAGCAAATTATAGTACATCATTAAAACTAACTCAGGTTTCAATAATAAGTTTTAAAACAATAACAATTCGTATATGATTAAATTTAGTTAAAAAATTAATGTAACTTAACAAAACATTTTTTTTTATAAAAATATATACATATGATGCAGTTTTGCAATTTAATATTTACAAAATAATTTAAAGTTTACATTATGTATAGATATATATATTTAATAATATAATATTATGAATTTTAGTCAAGGTTTAATTGAGCAAAAATCAGTCTCGTCAGACTATAAAATTTTAATGATGTTTAATGTAAAATATATATATAATTAAGGCACACGATACAGAAAATATGAGAGCATTACAAAACTGATTTTCTTCGGAAGACAAACAAACTTGAGCAATTATAATTAAATTATTTTTTGGCACATATTAATTATATGTTAAATTTGCTCAAATAATATTAAAAACAATTTAATAGTGACATTTGATACATCTAGCCTTATTGTAGGAACTCGTAACAATTTATTATCATTATAACACTAAATAAAAACTACCTAGTATACAAAGACTTAATTTCTAAATTGTAAACTGAGTTTTCTTTTTTATCAGAAAAATTCCTATTTATAAATTTTTTTATTCTATTATATAATATATGTTAAATATTATTGGTATTTATTTTTGAACTAACTTTGTGCTTAACATACATGTTTTAAGTAGATATCACAACAGTTTTAGAAATTATATCGGTAATTATTTTCGCCTGGATATTTAAAATATAAATATTAATTCCATAGCTTTTGAAGCCAATAGTTTTAAATAAAAAATTTAAGTATAATATACTTATATTATATAATTATAAATAACCATCTTCAGTATATTATAATGAAAAAAAAATTACTATTCAGCCATACATAGTTTTGGATGGATTAATGTAGTATCATTAAATTTATTGCAATTCGTTTAATTGAAATATTTATATAATATTATATTTTTGTTAAAAATATCTATTACTATATAAAAATATGCAAGCAATCAATATATTAAAATTATATTAATAATAAAATGGTACGGATATTAAATGGCATTTCTACTTATATCACTGATTTTCTTTTAACTACTTCATTGTGATGAGCACAAACAACCACTTCAAATCCTATAGGAAGCCATATATTTATATATTTATCAGTGTTTAAGTATTAGTTCAGTTTTATATTGAGTTTCTAAAACTTCACACCGAGCTTGGAAATCTAAAATCTTGTTTGTTCCAATGTTGAGGATATGATATATCCAACAGCGAAGGCTCCTTCTGCTCATAGGTACATACTTTCAAGTCCAATGAACAAGTCAGTCTTTGAGGAACAGGTCTTTCAACATAGCAGGGTCTGTAGCAGCAAGGTGGCCAACAATAATAGAGAGGATAATCTACATAAGGATATCTGATGGGGCTGACATACAAAGGTCGTTCAGTCGTTTCAACCATGGGTGCTAAGATTCGCTTCTTACAAGGTTCCAATTCCAATTCTTCTTCCCGCTTACGTTTTGTGAGATCTAAACATGTGGTAGATAAGTCTAGAGCAGAATCTTCTGTGTCAGATAAATCTTCAACATTCACATCACTATCTGACCCTGATGTCTCAGCTACTGCAACTCCCATTTTAGGAGGCTTTGGTGCACCTACTGCTTGCTGTACTGCCAATCGTAAACTTGTTTCGGTTTGAAGCCATTTCTGGATTTGTCGCCTATGAATGCCATATTTTCGGGCGGTTGCGCGTTGGTTTCCTTGGCAGTCAGAATCTTGTCGGTAAGAGTCCAATACCTATTGAGAAATAAATTTAAATAAAAATACAAAATAAACAACAATTTTGTTAAATACAACATTAGATCATTATTTTATAAAATATTTTTTTAAATCACCAGATTATTTTTGAAACCAAATATATTAGAAGTCTTTATAATTTTTAAAAACATATTATAATTCGTTTTAAACAAGTACAATATTATGAATATTGTCTAATTAAGTGTTTTATTTCATATAATATAAAAAATGATAATAAATAGTACAACCAAGTATAAAATAGTTCCTACCAACACTATTATTTAGTTATTATTTTAATAAATAGAAATTAAAATGAATTATTATAAGACTATCTAATCTCTAATAGAAGCAGTAGTACAAAAATAAGACATTTATTTTGGCACTACACCCAAGTTAAACGAGCAAGGTGTAAAATACCTACAATCGTTTGTATAAAATATAATATTTTAATATCAATAAATTTTGATAGCAACTTAATTAATAATTACCTGTAATTTGAATTGCGGAGGAAATATTCTTCTGGACCCGACTGGCGCTTTTGGTCTCTTTTCTTCCACTTTGCTAACAGGTTCGTCCGAAGCACCGTGCGCCATCCTTCAATAGGGCGCTATGCAATCTTTGTGTTTTACTGTTGTTGAATGAAAATAGTCCGATGCGCGACGGACAATATTATAACATCAATAAGACTTCGTTTGCACGAAAAAAATGTATTATGTAAAACGTTTCAACGTAGTTAATTATAAAAATAAACACTAAAAGAAACGGAAGGATAAAATACAAATAATAATAAATAAATAATAATGACAATAACACAACTAGAACGAGCAGTTAATAAGTAGACGCGGTGGCGCTTGCTGGTACAAAAATCAGTGCCAAGCTGTCTGTGTGCGTGTGCGGCGTTGCATTCACACAAGTCACCCCTGACCGCCACCGTTCCGTCCCGCACACATGCCCTGATCCATCCCCACCCTCCTGAGCAAGGACCGATTCTTGACTCGCGGTGTGCGCCTCGTATGAACCATCCAGCCGTGTTGGCGACAAAATACGTAAGACCGACGAGTCATCCGACGGTCATAGTTTAACGGCCGCACCACCTACAGCCGTAGGACTACTTTTTGTAGAAGTTTTTGCGCCTGTTCATTTCCTGGCCATCAACTCTGGACAATTATCGTCCACAGATAGTTGATACGGTCACCAAACCCGAAGGATCGACGTACCGGCGTTGTCCCTATGGTTTTTATCATCGGAAAACCCGAAATTTCGATTCTAACACGACTCGATAGGACTCGTCAGTCTGACGTACCAAAAGAATTCGACGGACCGATGGCGGCGGCGGATCAGATTGCCAGTAGAGCCGCGTTGCCGCGCTCTCGTGAAATCCGGTCGACAGCGCCACATAGCACACACCAGTCGGTGTATATACAGAACGATAACCGCGTTACCACTTGCTGTATAAACATTAAACACACACATACACAGACTACCCACACACGTACCGAGATACTTCCTACGAAAACTAATTTGACGGAAGCGCTGCGCACATGCACGGTCATCCACGTAAAATCATAAAACAAATTAACTAGGGTGAAACGCCATTCCGTTATCACCTCTCGAGTTCATCACAAATGGAAATAATTTCCTTCAAAATTATTTAGATTAAAAAAAAAAAATTGTTCACTAATAATATATTCAATTTGTATTAACTCAATCTTGTCCAGTTTTCAAGTTGTTGCTTGCACATGTTACATACATTTTAAGAATTATAATGACATTTTGTTTTAAGTGAGCTCCTAATAAAATATAATAAGAATATTTCTGCCCTGTTTGGGCAATAAGTGATGTGAAAATTACATTTTTTCAGTTAAGTAAGTGCTAAAAGAAGTTAAGCATTTGATAACTTCAATATGAATTCTAAATAGGCTAGTTCTAGTTATTATATATATATATATATATATATATATATATTGGCGCTATCACGGTTTTACTTTAGTGAAAAGTTATATTAAAGGCTAATGAATTAAACTAGTTTGGGAAAAAGAAAAAACTAAAATTTAAACTTTTATCCTTTTGTCCAATCACCACAGTTACTTCGATTTCAGGACGAATTCATGGACATGTATAGGAACAAACTATAAAACAACCCTTTTTAAATTATGTTTCAAGTTGGGCTTCACTAGAGTTGCAAAGGAAACCGGACTACCCTACTATTTTATGAGAGTTGATAGTAAGTATAGTGAAAGTTAATTAACGATTTGTTGAAAATATTTTAAACCGGATTACCAAAAATTCAGCGCCGGCAATAATTGCGTGCAATACAATTCCATATTATTATAAATAGATAAATTAATCTACCATAGAAGCAACTAAGAGAGTATTTCAGCACCCCCGATTCTAAAACGCTAAAAATAATTTTTAAAAAATGCTGTTTTTTTTATTTCCAGTAGGTTTTTTTTATTTTACGTTTATATCAAGTAGATTGATAGTTCGTAGTTATTACTTATTAGGTTACCTAGTACTTTTAAGTTTTGGAGAAAATGAGAAGTGTATAATGATAACGATATATAATGAGATGCATAGGCGGAGATTGGGGGGTGTACATCAAAGTAATAAATTCCTTAATTAATGGAGTAAAAACTAAAATTATTAATAAGAATAAATTATGAAAATTATTTCAGTTCCAAAACGGCAAAACATTATAACAATGTTTTTGATAATATTATCATTTAATTTTAATTCAAGTGCTAAATAAAGTTATACATTTTTCAAAAAACGCAATAAATATTGATAAAATTCAAAAGGCTCTTACCCAAAATGTATTTCCCAGCTTATTCAAATTATTTCAAGTCGCCGTGTCTTTGCCAATTAGTTCAGCTACATGCGAACGCAGCTTTTCAGCTATGCGCAAAATTAAGACATGGTTACGTACTAGTATGTTGCAAGACAGGTTTAATAATTCATCCATATTGTACATTGAAAACGATTTAAATATTGATGTAGAAAAAATAATTGACATACTTGGATCTAAGAATAGGTACATTGCATATATACTGCAGTAATATACAAATATTATATTATAATTATTATGATTTTTATTTATACATTTATAATGTTATATAGTATTATATATTAATAATTTAGGAGTGTAAATCCCTTGCAGGTAATTTTAGGTAGAAAAATGCTAGCCCCCCCAAAAAATTGATGAAATCTCCGCCTATGATGAGATGTAATGGAGTGATAAAATTTGTAACATCTTTGCAATCTTTGCATTTTGATATAATTTAAAATAATAATGTATGTTTTACTGTGCATTAAATAATGATTATTTTAATTACTAAATAAATCAGGAATTGTATCTGGGGGCGTGGGAGCGTAGCCACCGCGATTATGTGAGGATAACATAATTTCAACACCCTTAATATTTAAGCTCTAATTGCGCCTATGGAAACGAAGATAAATTATATACAGTTGTCAAAACTTAAAATAAAGATGTTCTTAACCGTAATTTAATCAATAAATCATTCACTAGCTCTAGATTTACATATCGCTTATAATCGAAGTTAGCAGTCGTCAGTATAGAACTACTTTTGTACATGCCATTACAGTTTATTTTGAATACAAAATAAGGATTTGCCCAATCAATAACATACAAATAATGTGCTAAACATGTTTTATCGATGATGGTGTAAAGGAAAGCCCAGAAAAAATTTCCCTTACAAAGACGACACATTATGTCAACATTTTCAATTTATTAGGGGGTTCGGTAAAAGCAAATATTTTTTAAATCTTATTTTAAACTATTAGAGTTACCAACAAACGTCAAACAGTAGTCGAAGTCATACAGTAAATAATATTGTTTTTTATATGTTTTAAAAATGACAACTACAAACTAATAACAATATAGGCAATTACAATAATTACACACCTAAAATTGCACAAAATTAATTCTGAAAATTCTGAATTTCCGAAACATGTTTTTTTTACAATAGTGGCTAAACAATTGCGTTGTAAAATTTGAAAACAAACATTTTTATTTATTTTCAAAAATATACCAATCCCCAATTATTATTGTAAAATAATGTTTAAAAATGTTTAGTGTTTTGTAAGAAATATTTTGTTTAAACTTTTTTAATCTTTAAGCAGTCGTTTCTTAAAAAATCTCGTAGGCGGTTGCGCTGTGGTGTTTACACCGCCCCATGTAATTTCGGTATTTAAAAACTACCAAAAGTACTAATAGTACCAAAACTCGCAGTGTTAACACCGAGCGTATGGAAGTTAGTAGATATTGATATATAAGTTAGACAATCAATGTGTAATGATTTCGATGATGAAATTGTAAAATTCAATTTTTCGAAAAAAGTGTCGCATAATTCGTTTTTTTTAACCGACGATCTATAAAATAATAATAGAAATTTCTATTAGGCAATAAGTAAAGACCTGCCCAGACCCAGTCAGATCGCACCAGATGCAGACAAATTATAATCCAGGCCAGAACGGTTTCAATTGAAATTGATTTACTTAACGGGTCAGGCAGGATTCAATAAAATAAAGTCTGAGTCGGGTCAATTTTTATACAAAATAATCCAGACCAAGCTGGGCTAATAAAAATAAGTTGGGCTTATTTTTAATAAAAATCTGGCCAAACCGGACTTATTTTATCGAAACAAAAACGGTTGATGCCATCTGTTTTACCCTAAAACTACGAGTTTTTTTGTTTAAATAAGTAAACATGTTTCCTGCTTCAGGCTGGTCTTATCTAAATAGTTTTTCTTATACTGGGCTGGGCTGTTTTTTTTAACAACATTAAGGCTAGACTAAATCGTTTAGAAGAATTAAACAAACCTAGCTAAAACGATGTGCAGTCTTCTAAGACGCAATAAATATTTACATCTAGCGGCCGACAGATCTAATTCATTGCGATAAGTAGTCGTCAGAAAATCTCTTCCCTAAGAAGGGTCAGCGATGGCTCTACATGGGCTCCTTAAGCTGTTTCCGAATAATTATTTACAGTTACATACACGTTAAAATGTTCTATACATTGGTCAGATAATATAATATGCGGTCGATGGTATGAGCATAAAGCCATAAGACCAAAAAATTGTCGGTTTTCACGGTTAGGTGCCTGTATGTCTGTCACTCCTTGACGAAAGCGAGTGCTCAGAAAATGAATGAACCCCGAGAAGTAGGGACCTGTATATAGTTAACCGTAGGAAATTACTTTTGTCTACACTCTACGGCAAGGAATATTATGTTACATGTTATGGTATAGCAAGAACACAACACTTTGCTTCGGTACGTACACGTGTTATTTTCACGCTGTGTCCGTTGCTGCACAATCCGGCACCGCAGCATTTGGTTCGCAGCAGCCAGACAGGGTGACGCCGAGCGCCCCACCAATGTCCATCCGGCGGCGGTTTTGTGTGTGTGTATGCTGTGTAATGCGTGCGGTGTATCGAGAGTCCGGCACACCGCCACCACCTCTATATTATTACCGCCGACGGTTCCCTCGTCCGTTTGACTTTCCTTTGTCCTTTGTATGCGTACGGGTATAGGACGGCGTCCGAGCAGCGCCTCGCTGTCTGCCCTTTCGGGCCCCCCCGGCGCTACTCGCTTACACCGCACCCGCATACCCGACCCAGCGGCAAACCAGAAAGGTCGCATATTTTCAGGTACAAACGCACACACATGCAGTACATATATATATATATATATGTCTATAATATAATATAAAATATATAAACAGACGGTGTCGCGGCAAAACTGCGCGCGGCCCATAAACCCAAAATAAGCACGAAAATATGTATGCCCCCGAAAGAACCGGTTGATATTTTATGTACTTTTGCGGTCCCAAATGTACCTGTTGGCTGAAAAAAAAAAGGAAATTCAATACCATACTGTTTGTATTTAACACGTT